GTTTCCTCGATGGTAAGCTAAAAGGACATCATTCTGGACCTTTATGAGAGTTTTTGTAATTGTATTCAATCTTGGAATATTGTGATCACATGCTGGGATGAGCTTTTCCCCTACTTGAATTTGATCAACCATGCCCTCTTCTGATGTTAGCACAAGGTCCAGAATGCTGTTACCTCGAGTGGACTCTACACATATTGTATGAGAAATGAGTTCGCACCAGGTCAAGAAATTGATCTCCTTTTGCTTGCGATATTAGATTTACCCAATCTCGTTAAAATCACTCATTATAAGAGTATGGGCTTATGACGCGGCATTGATCACATTATGCAGATCAGCAACTTCCTCTGCTGTTGCTGAGTCAGCCCTGTAGCATACTCCCACTGTCAGTATTTTACCATCTTGAGCTAGAATGTTGTCGTTATACAGACTCTGAGGATCCCATTGGGTTTAGTTCCTTATTGATTGTTGCTTTCAGGCCCTCCTTCACATAAAAGAGTACACCACCTGCTCTTGTTGTTCTGTCCTTTCTGAACAGAGGATGATAGCCTGGGAGGAGGAATTCCTTTTCAATAATGTCTTCTCATCCTCATATATCACTTATGCCAAATAAAGTCTGGAGTCTCTGCCTCAGCATATGCACACAATGTATCAGATTTATTCACCAGGCTTCTGGCATTAGTGTAGAAGCACTCTAAATTTCTTTCGTTGTTCCTGTTGGGCTGAGAGACAGTTCCTAGATTATGTACATTATTATTCTGTTCATTGTCACTCCAGTTTTGTGCCTGCTCATCTTCCGTGATATATATAAGTACAGTGGGGCCTCGACTTACGAATGTTATCCGTTCCCAGAGACGGATTGTAATTCGAAAAGTTGTAAGTCGAAGCGAATTTTCCCATAAGAAATAATTGTAAATTGAGTTAATCTGTTCCACACCCCCAAAAATATTAATTTAAAAATACATTTGATACTGAATACCAGTTTTTGCATTAGCAACAATACAGTGTGTACTGTATATCTTACCTTTATTGAAGACTCTTGTTGGCGTGTGGATGACGGTGAGGAGGGGGAAGGAGGAGAGGTGTTAGTAATTACCTAAGTGTAATTACCTATCTTGAGGTTATCTGGAGATGATTTCAGGGCTTTAGTGTCCCCGCGGCCCGGTCCTCGACCAGGTCTCCATCCCCAGGAAGCAGCCCGTGACAGCTGACTAACACCCAGGTACCTATTTTACTGGTAGGTAACAGGGGCATAGGGTGAAAGAAACTCTGCCCATTGTTTCTCACTGGCGCCCGGGATCGAACCCGGGACCACAGGATCACAAGTCCAGTGTGCTGTCCGCTCGGCCGACCGGCTCCCTTATGTTGTAAGTTGTAGTTACCTAAGTTGTAAGTTACCTAAGTTGTAGTTACAGGATGAGAGCTACGCTCGTGGCGTCCTGTCTCCCTAGCACTCTGTCATATAACGCTTTGAAATTACTGACGGTTTTGTCCTCCACCACCTTCTCACCTAACTTGTTCCAACCGTCTACCACTCTGTTTACAAAAGTGAATTTTCTTATATTTCTCCGGCAACTTTGTTTCGTTAGTTTAACCCTTACTCTGCTCAGGGGTCCTGGGGACATTTACACCACTGTGCGCAAGAAAAACAAAAATTCAAAATTTTTTTTTTTGTCTTCTAAACATGTTAATTTGTGTCCCCTGAGCACGGGAAAAATAAAAAAAAAATCGTAGGTGACATATTTTGGGCGTAATTGACCGAGGAAGTCTGGCAAAAAGTGGGCGTTGACAGAGCGGTCGTCAGACCCAGTCAGCATCACCCGCGCTGACAGATGGGAGTTGCCACAAAGATATTATTACCTAATTGTTTCAATGTCTCCGATTGATTTTTTCTTAGTTTTTTTGCAGTAATATTATTCAATAGTGTGTATTGTAATATATTTATATAAAATAAAAGTGGTGAATAATTGCTATACTCAAAAGTATGATGTGCATATTAGTGATTCAATTATTATGTTTATAAAACAATAAACAAATAGTTTTGCTGCTATTACACTCTATACACAGGTTATATATAAGTATCTGCATGTTTTGGTCACCATAACGAACCACTAAGTTGGTATTGAGAGTCAAAAAGCAACGAGGAGTGACCGGCACACACCAGCCAGCCACTCGCTGCCACTCCCTCAACACACGCACTAAACTTTCTTCCCCAAAAATACTATTTGTGGTGTTATTACACTATATACAGACGTTATATATAAGTATGTATATATTTTGTTCACCACAACTGTACAGCTAAGCTGATATAGTTATGTCAGGCACTAAGAATCGTCGCTATACACACATGGCGGCTGGCGGCTCCCTCACTCTTTCAAGGTCACACGCTCTAAACTTTCTTCCCCAACAATACTGTTTGCAGTGTTATTACCCTATATACACATATTATATATAAGTATCTACATGTTTTATGCACCGTAACTGTACACCTAAGCTTGTAGTGCGCCCAAAGAGCATAGTGGCCACCCTCTAAACAGCTAGACAAATCGTGCAGGCGACGTCACCTCCGTCACCCATATGGCTCCTCCCAGCATAATTCTTTTGCTGTTATTACACTAATACACACATTATATATAAGTATCTACATTTGTGTTCACCATAGAGAACCACTGACCTGGTATGGTGAATGCAAACAATAACAGGTAGCCACACAGTCAGTAAACGATGCTATCTCCCTCCATCTCTCAGCATCACTCCTCCCACGGCGTTAATTATTACAACAATCCTGCTATTATCACAACCCTGGTTATTTATATCACAGTCAGGGGTCATCTGTAATATTGTCATCGCTAAATAATAACAATTACGTGTATATATTTATTTTGACAATTTTTGGCAATGGTCACAATGGTCAGCAAAAAATGGTCACAAGCTGAACAGCAATGCTGTTCGCTCATGCTGCATGCGCCAGCCTTGGTTACTCCAACAGTACTGTGCCTCTCACACCTTAGAATATTGCCCACGATTTTAAAAAAAAATGGCGTCTTTTTACAAGAGCCCTGAGGAAGCTAATGTGAACCCCGTGTAGCCGTGGGCTATTTGAATCTGGCCTGGCACCCTGTGGCGTATATATACGCCATGCGCACCGTGGGACATGTTACTCAGGGCGTATATATATGCGCAGTTTAAGGGTTAATGTGGTCCTCAGGTGACAGTTTTCTATCTAGAACCACCCCTAGATCTCTTTCTTTTTTGTCGGAAATGGTCCCTTTTGCACTCAGAAGTGAAAAAGTACTATTTTCCGGAACATGTGATAATCCGGCTGGGGGCCTTCCCATATAGTCCGGATAGTCGAGTGGAGACAGTATAATCTTTTTTATTTAGCCATACCTTGAGGTGCTTCCGGGGCTTAGCGTCCCCGCGGCCCGGTCTCGACCAGGCCTCCTTCCCAGGCCATAATAGTATTATAGAAGAGCCTTAGTGTGATAATGACTGGGTACAATTTTCAAATATCAGTGATTCAATGCTGTTCACGATGTTCACAGCGCTAGCCACAGCACCACAGCATTACTTCGTCCATCTAGGAATCTTCAAACTACTTTTTAGGTTCCTTTTCAAAATAAACTTGTGGTCAATTATTCATTTACAGGAATTAGTGACCAGGATTGTGATTATAATTAGCGTTGTGCGTAGTACGTATTGTGGAAGGAGGAATTTTGGTGAGGGAGGGAGGGAGGAAGGGAGAGAATTGAGGTAGCCTCACTGTGTGGCAGCCACTCTTGTTTTGCTCACCATACTAGCTTCGTGGTTCGCTATGGGGAACACACATGTACATGGGTATATACAGTGTGTGTGTATAGTGTAATAATAGCACCAGGAGTATGTTGAGAGGAGCTATTTTGGTGAGGGAGGTGACGTTGTTATCGTAGCATCTGCTGTGTGATTTCTCATGCAGTGTATGGTGGCCACTGTACTGTTTGGACACAATACTGGCTTACTTGCATAGTTCTGGTAAATAAAACATGTAGATAGGTATATATATAACGTGTGAAAATATTGTAATAAAAGCAATAACAGTATGGTGGGAGGAGCAATGTTGGTGAGTAAGATGTTGGAGTGAGGGAGATTGGCTGGGTGTGGCTGCTCACACTCGCGGTGTTCTGAATGTGTTGATGGTAAATGTATATAGTGTGTGACAGTGTATAGTGTGTACATATGTTGTAAATATACATAAATGAACATGAAACGTTGGTGTGAATAACTGTATGATGGGAGGAGCAATGTTGGTGAATACAATGTTGGAGGAGTGAGGGAGGGCTGGCTGGGTGTGACAGCTCACATTCGCAGTGTTCTGAATGTGTTGATGGTGAATGTATATAGTGTGTGACAGTGTATAGTCTGTAAATAGATTGTATATATACATAAATTAGCATGATACATGGTAAATATGTGCAACATATGTGTACACAAGTGTCATGCACGTAACACAGTGTCCTTGGACAGTACGGATGTTTTACTGCCGTAATATAGTGTACGTGTTCATTATACATAGGATTAGCACGTAAAAACAAATAAAATGTATTTGGAACTGTGCGCAAAAAATGAACAAAAATATATTCGCGGCAACTCGCGTGCCCCGCCCCGGGCGCCCTACTGGCCCCGGGAGCATACGTCACTGGCGAACGGGGAATGATGACGTCACGTGCCAACTTACGGACCCCATAGCAGCCAAAGCACATACAAGTTGGGTTTTTTTTTTGACATACCCATACTGAGGGAAGGGTTTTTGACACTTTAAAAAAACAACAGATTTTTTTCAAGAGAGTTTATTTCCTGCGCACTGGGGGCTGTCATATTTAGAGGCGGCGCAGTTAAAGGGTTAAGAGTTAAGGCGCTATGCACTATGCAGTGATTAAGGCAAATTCATGTAGTTTGGTTTTTGTTTATTGTTTAACCACAATATATCACTATGGGTGTCACTAATTACTTGTATGTTCTTTCAGGGTGGAGTGGTGCCCCCAGTCTACCATCTTCACCGGGCACAGGGTAACAAAATTCATGGCACAACTAAAAGTGGTTATCTCTACAAGAAATCGGAAGGTATGGCCAAGACCTGCTTAAGTTAAAATGTAATACAGTGGTACCTCAGCTTACGAATTTAATCGTTCCCAGAGACGGTTCGTATGCCGAAAATTCGTAAACCGAAGTGAATTTTCCCATTAGAAATAATGTAAATTGAATTAATCCGTTCCACACTCCAAAAAAATTAACTTCAAAGTAAATTTTAGACGTAATTCACCCAAATCTTCAGTACTAAAGTATGTACAAGTTATCTTTATTGATGACTCTTGTTAGCATATGGAGACAGTGAGGAAGGGGGGGAGGAGGAGAGGTGTTAGTGTTTGGAAGGGGAATCCCCTTCCATTATAACATCAGGCAGGGATAACTTCTCTGGGGTACACTCTCTGGCACGTTTTGCCTGCTTACCACTAGGACCTACTTGTCGCTCACTGCTTGATTTTCTCATTATAAATCGATCCATAGGAGAATTGTTTTTCCCTTCGTTGTAACATTTCCAACAACACTGAATACCACTTCTTTTTCTAAATTACTCAAACCATTCCCTGCTTGCCTGTAACTCTTTTTGTATCTGCATCACTCGTTCCAGGGGTTTCGTTTAAAAGGTCTTCATGCAATTGTCTTGCGTTCTCACAAATGATGGCCTCTGAAATGCTATCACCTGCCAACTTCTTTTTCCGAGGCAAAGTTCATAACCCGATTCGGATTTTACGAAGAAATTGGGCTTGTAACCCGAAAAGTTTGTAAAGACAGGCATTCGTAAGCCAAGGTGTCACTGTATTAGGAAATTGTTTAAATATCTTTTAAGTTACTGTATGCAGATTAGTGTTGTAAATTAAATTGATTTCAAACTGTCCTTGATTTGTATAAGGTTATCCTGTAAAAACTGTGCAAATAAGACACAAATAACACTTGAATATATGGTAACATATAATTTATATTGATAAAATAGGATTAGATTCCAAAGACCCCAAAATTCTATTTTCTGGGTGGGGTGGGGGGGGGGGATGGTTGGCTCCCAGGAGCTAGCCAGGCTGATATGGATATATTAGCTTTCTGGCATCAGTCAATGTGCATACTTACTGGGGACCTCGAACCAGAACCTGGCCACCTCAGAGGGGCACGAGGAGCAATGGCTTTGAGAAACCCACGTGTGGTTGGAAGCATTCTATGTCTGGCACTTAGAAAGGTAGCCGGCCCAAAACAAACCCCCCTATTCTGGTGAAAATATTGCTCTTGAAAGCCGAACGAGTGGACAGAACTCCCCAAATGAAAATTAGCAAACAAGCATGATGTCATCACGTTGCCATGCCACTGTCTGCGCATCCCCCCTCCCCGGGAGGGGGGAGCCTCAGACCCTCATGCCGGTGATCCACCCTTCAGTTCTTGGCTGATGTGATGCTGGCGAGGTCATGTGTGTCTGGCTCCAGATTTTGTTTGTTTCTGTGCCTTGTGGCGTGAACTCTCTTTACTGGTGGAGTGAGAGCCAGGAGTAATATTCTTCGGTACTCGGGCTGAATATGTCTAGGGTTTGCTTTTCTAAGTGCCCTAAGCACTGCTTTTGGGACTTGGGGCCACCTTCCACAAGTCGTCTTGGGATCTACTTCCGCTGTGTCTTTTACTGCTTGGTACTTGGCCGCCCTTGGCATCAACTGGGGTCTTTGTTTGCCTTTGTTTACCTCAGGGTAGGAGGTAGTTTTCATCATTGGTAGGGGCGCGAGGGTACTGCACAGCTAGTTATCACCTATTACAGTGGCCAGCTCTGTTCTGCCTGGGTACTTTGTCCTCTTGTAGGGTTTTTCTTTTGTTTTTGTTTTCCCTGCCCGGTAGGGGGGGGGGGTCCCTGCCTTTGATTGGTTGCCCTATCTATAATTAGAGTATTTATATCCATATTTGTCTTCTTGGTGGTACCTCCTGCTAGGCCCCCATGAGTGGACACGTCCCAGGGGTTCAACTTTTAGAAGATTGCTTGGTAATCTTGGGCGCCGGTTTGCAGTACCCTGCCTGGGCTTCCCTTAGTGTATTACCAAGGCTAAGGGACCTGGGAAACCCTGCGGGAGGGCTCCGTGGTCTGATGAATGCAACCCTTGAGTCCCCTCTCGCTTCGTGCTAGGTTGATGGTTGCTCTGTCTTTTTGTCTCAGGGTGACAATCACTAGTTGTGCCTCCGCCATGCTGCCTGTCGGGTCAGTGATTCTTTTGACCTGGAGTTGCGTGATGTCTGTTGTTTGTACGTGCCCCAGTTCACCCAAGCTGCTGATCATAATGCGAGAGTGCAGGCGGCAGCTGCGTTGCATGCTAGGTTCAGGTTTCTGCAACGTGATAGGTTGGATGCTTCTCCGGATGCTCCGAGACTGCCCCGTTTTGGTTTTAGGGACCCGGACATGGGGGGGTGCGAGTCGCTTCAGCTTTGGTTTCGCCCCTCCTTGTCCTTCCCCTTCTGTTGTGCGTCCGGTTCATCCCCCCTTGCTTTCGGCTCCAAAACGTCTTGAGGGTTTCTGAGTTGGGGCAGGGTCTAGTTGGTGTTGAGAGTCAGGTTGTCTTTGGCGAGTCCCCTTCCGGGGTGGCGGTGGAGGCATTTGAGCTTGGTCCTCCAGCTGGAGCTTGTGGACCAGTGGGCCCCCCTTCGTTCCTGCTTTTCGGCGGCTCCTGCCTTTTCCTTAGAGGTGGGGGTGTATTGGACAGCTCAGCCCCAGGTCCTCGGGGTGAGGTTCCCGGGGGCGGGGGAGAGGTTGACTTTGGGGCATTGGGCCCCGTTGGAACCTGGTTGGGGTTTTGTACCCTCGGAGTGGGGTTTGGTGTTACAGTACAAGGAGTGGGATTCTCTTTCGCTCCCACCTCGTATGAATTGGATTTGACGTTTACCCCTCCCCGGGTTTGATTCCGGGACCCTGACGGTTCTTCGGTTCCGTCCTTCCAAAGGTTTTCGGCTTCCCGTGTCCCATTCTATATATTGCCGGAAGCCCATGCGGCTTACCTCCTGCGCGACCCAGATTATGCTTCCGTGATGGATCTGCTTTCTTTCGTGTATGGATCTTCATGTCCTTACTGGCTTTGTTATGGAGTTCCAGAGTTGTCCTGGTTAGCAGATTTCCTCTCTTCTCTTTGGAGACATGGCATACATTCTGTCGATCCCGCACCCTTAAGTGGCAGGAGGCTCGGACGGCGTTGCAGGTTTTCCTAGGGGGGGGGGGCGGGGGGGGGGGGCAGGGTGCGAATTTGAGCATCTTATTGCATGCTTGTTTGCCCCCTGCCCTTCTGCGAGATGTTGGTGTAATGCAGCTTCATGTGCAGATTCCTCTCTTTTGGCTGCATTGGTCGAGGAGAATTGCTTACACGTGGCCTGCTGACTTCGGCCCTGTGTTTCTTCTCCCTCCTTGAGCTGTCCTCAGACTGGCTTGAGGTGGATGTGGATGAGTTTGGGGGTCAGGTGCATTACCCTTGGCGTCACGTGCGTTGTATGCATTGTTGAGGCTGTTTGCGCCGCTTCTACGGGATGCGGGTTCGCGTTTTTTTGCTTCTCAATTCAACTTCCCAACTCGACTCAACAATGCAGTAGTGAACTCTTGGAGTTCATTATTGCATTGAAAACTTGTTACTCATCTATTGTGTATTTAAGTGTCCAAATTCTTTATCCCTATTCTGTTCCAGTTTTGCCATAGTGCTTTGCTCTTAATTAGCCACTGGACTATGCCACATTATAACATGACACCCCCGTGATGCTCCAAATTAAAATTATAAAAAAAAAAAATGATTTCATCTTGTATGATCTATGGGGGGTATGAGCTACGATGAGAGACTACAGGAACTAAGCATCACATTTCTGGAAGACATAAAAATTAAGGGGGGACATGATCATCACATTCAAGATTCTCAGAGGAATTGATAGAGTAGATAAAGACAGTTTATTTAACACAAGGGGCACATGCACTAGGGGACAGAGGTGGATATTGAGTACCCAAATGAGCCATAAACACATTAGAAAGAACCTTTTTAGTGTCAGACTGGTTGACAAATGGAATGCATTAGAAAGTGATGTGGTGGAGGCAGATTACACACAATTTCAAGTTTAGATATGGTAGAGCCCAATAGGCTCAGGAACCTGTACACCAATGGTGATAGAAATGCAAAGACAGAAATTCTTTCTTCTAAAAAGTGTCAGGGACTGGAAAGCTTGTGAAATGATACATAAAAACAAGGCAACAAAATCATTAGTGGAAGGGGGAGTAAAGAGCAAAGGGAAAGGGAACATGTTCCTGAAAGCTGTATATACCAACATAGTGAGGTCAAAAACTTTGGAGTTGCAAGATATAATTCAATTTTAGGTTGATATTATCGCATTATCAGAGATGAAACTTTAAGGAAATATATTAAATGGAGTCGTATTCCCAAGGGGCTATTCAGTTTGGAGACTTGACAGGAAAACTGGGTAGGGAAGGGAAGTGGCTGTGCTGGTGATAAAACACCTGAAGGTAAGAGAATTAATATTTGAAAACCCTCTAGATATTGACATAATGGCATTGCAGGTCTGGAATCAGGATGATAAGCTGATAATTTTCAATGCCTACAGCCCACCAGCAAACAACACATGGACAAAGGAAGAACTGAATAACAAATGAGAGGGCCTCATAATGGTCATGAGAGACATTATTGTACAAGCAGATAAAGATAAATCACGACTGTTGATACTGGGGGACTTCAACTTTAAAGCAATGGACTGGGAGGCCTATGAAGCAAGAACGGAGGACTTTCAGACATGTAGATTTGTGAACCTCAATCTGGAGACATTCTTGTATCAATTTGGGAGCCGGTTGGCCGAGCGGAGAGCACGCTGGACTTGTGATCCTGTGGTCCTGGGTTCGATCCCAGGCGCTGGCGAGAAACATTGGGCAGAGTTTCTTTCACCCTATGCCCCTGTTACCTAGCAGTAAAATAGGTACCTGGGTGTTAGTCAACTGTCACGGGCTGCTTCCTGGGGGTGGAGGCCTGGTCGAGGACCGGACCGCGAGGACACTAAAAAGC